TATTTTTTTATATAAACTTTTAATTTTTATAATGTATCTCGCGTTTTCGTAAAAAATAATTAATAATAAAAGTTTTATCATTAATAATACATAATCTCTCTAAATTTACAGCAATTTACGCGAATAATTAATGAATATCTTATGAATATCTCTACATTAAATATAAGCTATATGTATATCTTAAAGGTATATTCTTAATATTTCTTAATATTTTTTTTACTATAAATTCACGCTTTCCTACAGTTGTCATTCCATTAGAGTAAACACAATCGCAAACGTGGAACGCGAACGTGTAACTCGGACGTAAAACTTGCAAATCTACTCGCTTTAATTACGCTACTTTTTATGCGTCGCGCTCGTCTTATTATTTCGCGATACTAGCAAAAGGGATTAAGAGAGCAAGGGATTAAGAGAGCAATGAATTACCGCGTTGAACATCCTGTATTTAGCGCGCGTGCCGCAGTTCGTGTCCGAGTGGAAAGAGAAAGAGAGAGAGAGAAAGGGAGAAAGAGAGAGATCGCGATCGCATTCGTTTTGCGATGCGGGATTGTCACGCACGTCCTTAATACTACGCGTTGCGTACGTGCTGGCGTCCCCGGCAACTATTGAGAAATTAAAATGATTACACTGTGTAAGCACGTACTCCGTCAGTACGGAAGTCGGTACACGAGATGAGCAGCGCCGTCTATCCCTATAAGTTGAACGCTGTGAGCTTCTCTCGCCGAAGCCGAAGAAAATTAAAAGAGGAAAAAAAAAGAAAAAGAAAAAAATGGAAAATCGATCACTCGTTTCCCGATAACTCATTTCATTTACCAGTCCCGCGATCATTATTTCAGACACGGCGATCGTCTTCGCGATGCGTCTTTACGTCTTACTATGCTAGATCGTGTCACGCACGTACTCTTTAATACGGGGCCCTATGCATATCTGTGGAGCAGCTTAGAGGAATTAAGATAATTACACTAAACGCGTATACTCGACACAGAATGATGCCGGCCGGGCCCCATCAAGCACAACACGCCTCGCATTTCTCTCTCAGGGAAGAAATGGGTAAAAATTCGATCATTCCCCCGAGAACGCATCTCATTTATCGATCGCGTCGTTTTGGGACATTACGCGAGATATATCCGTTCGCGGGATCGAACATCGTACGCAATGTCGCAGCAAATGGACGCTAAAGACAGGCCTCAGGAGACCCCGACGCGTAATTCTCGATCGACGACAAGGTTTATCGATAGTATAAATGCCAATTCGTCGATGTTGCATGTCTCTGTATCGTCTCGATTGCATCTTTTTGCGCTACGACTTCATTCATCAAAATCAGACACGAGTAGCCCGATGAGACATTGAGAGCTCCGAGATAAGTGTCATGAATTACGAGTCGGTTGAAAATATGTATTCATCGCACCCAAGATTGTATCATTAGGGGAAAAAAGACTCCAATGAGCGGTAAAGATTGACTACAGATTGAAACATTTGAAGAACCTGTTTCTTATTTGCCCGATTATACACTGTTGTATTCGACAATTTATATTCGTGTTAAAATACTTATGAGATAGCGTTATAATCAATGCATTTATGAGAAAATAAATTTTTTTGTCAGTTAATGTTAATGATCACTTTTATATATCTTTTTCAGCCATTTTTCAAAGGATATCGGTGTCGAGAGGACAACTAAGGATCCAAGGAATAGCGACCTGCATGTATCTGTGTATGGATGCTTGCGGTCTACCTTACGGTTCGGTAAGTAAAACTTTTTCTTTAAAAACCTTGCACGTATCATGAATACACCGTAATTATATCTCTTTATCTACTAGATACGTTTATCTTATATATGTTAAGCTTTTTTACAGATTCTTAATATAAGATAATTCATTCACTCACCGATACGATGCGCAGCAGCGGAGTTGTAACTGCGTTGAACTATAAAATACAAATATATCCAGATTAATTCAGCGCTCACAAAGTATTTAATTACTTTAATATATTATTAAATAATCATTAAAAATTTTTTTATTTAAGACTTCATAATCTTTAAAAAATTTTTTCAATTTTATAAATACAAGTTTTATTGATTTAAGTTTTATATATAAATAATCCATTCGATTTAAATTTCAAACATGTTTGAAGTATTCTGACACATAAATATTATTAATATTTTTGTCAAATATTTTAAATATCTTTTAAAGCATAGAAATTCAAAAGTATTTTAAGTAAAAATGTTACTATATTACAACAATGAATAGTAGCATATGAAATGCTTCACGCGACATGCGGAAGTAAATAATTAATGCCGCAAGTAACAAATAATGAATAAATTATAAATTACTCACCCTTGGGTTGCCCCGCCGTCACCCGATGCCTCCTAGGCCTCCACCTCCTCTCAGTCTTCTTTGTTGCACTCACACAATTCACTCACCAAAATATTATTAATTACAGTCACGTGCGTAATAATCATCGAAATATGACGATCGCACGCTGCTAATTATACGCGATACGCACTCGATTGTGTTCTCTGTTACAATTAATGTATATTTTTTTTCATTTATTATTACTCTTCCTCTGTATAGAACATCTAATGAGAAAAGAAATTACGAACGTCTCGCATAATCGATATAAAAAACGAATTTTGAACAACGCGGAAAGTTAGCAAAATCGCTAATATCGAAATTCCAAACCCGTTGTGCGATCGAAAGATATTAAAGTATCAACGCGCAATAATCTATTGTTACCATACTATACATTATCTATTACGACTATAATTGTTAAATATGTATCGCAATATCGCTAGTTCGAATTAACAATCCACGCGAAACATTCGTTCCGATAACATCTACGCATTTCATACATATCAGTAATCGTGAGAAACAATTAATCGAGCTTGCATATTGCTGATCGTTCATAAGAAATGAGTCCACGCATCTCTCGATATCGATCCAATTAAATTTTCGAAGATTACAACGTCACGCTCGCAAGGCGAGCAATGTGCCCCTTCCCGTGCAAGACTCACGGACGAAATGATAACACAAATCGTAACCGTGTGTTTACGATGTGGTAGTATTTGGATAGCGGCGTAATGATGGGACGGGCAGCGCTCGTGCGGCTTTGTTTATCTTCGCATTCTTCCCTACGTAAGCATAGCGGTCGTGTTATCATTTCGTTGGCGAGGCTCGCGCGAGAAGGACGCACATCGCGTTCGCGGCAGGACAAAATACCACGTATTTATTTTCGCGTGAATTATCGGTGTGATAATTTTTCGATCTAGTCTTGAGAGTTTTCTCATTAACGATTCATATCGAGATGATTTAACTTGCGCGCTTTACTTATTCGTGTCTAATTAGCACAATTGTAATTTTACTCGATGTTTTAAAAACTATCATGTAACATAAATTCGACATTTGTATAACGGTCTATTAAAATCTTTCGTTTGAGATTCGTCTTTTACTTCGACTTGCTAATCGTACCTTCGTGCGATCGTACTTTTTTCGCGTTTGATAAAATGTATGTAATAATATAAGCGGCGTGAAATATCCCCCGCGCAAATGTAATAATCAGATCGTTAAACACGAGTAATAATAATCGTATCTTCGTGAAATTATATCATACATGTGTATATATGTGAATATGTGTGGGCAACAAAATTCTGAGAGGAGGAGGAGACCTAGGAGATATTGAGCGACGGCGGAGCAACGATGAGGTAAATAGTTTATTAAATATTTATACAGCAACAATTAATTTTTTTTAAATAAACATTATTTCGAGCGCTGCTATAATTTGGATATATTTATATTTTATAGTTCAACGTAGTCTTATAATATAACTCCGCTGCTGCACATCGTACTGGTGAGTGATGAATTATTTTTTATTCTAAATTAAGATAATAGATCTGTGAACAAAATAGATGTATCAAAATATCCAATCATATTTATTGATTTGATTTTATAAGTATTAAATTTAAGTTTAAAATAAAATGAAATTTTATGTGGAATTCATTATTTTATCGTAAAATAAAAGTTTCGATTTATATATATATATATATATATATATATATATATATATATATATATATAT